CCACAATTAAACAACACTATCTAGGGAAGACATATATTCAGCATATATAAATCACTAAAAAGTTGCCTTCATAGTAGAAGATGCCCAGTTCATTGCAATTTATCCTACATTAGAAAAATAATCTCTCCAAAAGCCAACCAAAAGCTCCCTTTGTTTCAATTCCATGCTTATTTATGGAACCTTCCAATTACAGATTTATTTCCCAGACAACTTGAAAACAAAAAAGGTACTTTGGATAATGGCTATAATGTTATTATCATTGAAAAGAAAATATCCCTTCACCCAGAAAATAAGAGTCTAATATCACTCAGATAAGAAGATGAAATGCAATTTACTGTGGCATAACTTGGCCTGCTCATGTTATGTACATCTTACTAGGCCTGGCATTACATATATTTCATAAGCAGCATTGGTTTATATACTTTTAAATTCAAAGATTCAGGTAAATCAAAGTTTTTAAATTAACCAATAGTCTTATTTTAATTCTTACCAAACAGCAAAAACATGTATCCATTATCCCTATCAATTCAGGCAAGGTGAGGTCTTTAATTTTAATGGTGCCATCCTAAAAAGAGGGGGAAATATGACACATAAGCAAAATTTTTTTTAAATGTATGGTTACTATGTACAGTAGCATTTTGGATTTCAAAAATTAAATATTTAGGGCTGGCCCGGTGGCGCACTGGAGAGTGCGCCGCTTGGGAGCGCGGCAGCGCTCCCGCAGAGGGTTCGGATCCCATGTAGTGACTGATTCCAGCTCACTGGCTGAGCGTGGCGCGGGTGCAACACTGAGGGTTGCAATCCCGTTGCCGGTCCCCAGTACGGGCGCGACACCGAGGGCTGCGATCCCGTTATCGGCCAGTAAAAAAGACAAAAAGGAAAAAAAAATTAAATATTTAAAAATAGGAATCCTCTACTGGCAGCAAGAACAGCACCAAGGAAAAGATAAAGCTCCAAAAATCATCCCAGGAAGATCAGAACGGACATTCCCTTGGGGGAGGGCATAGCCCATGGTGACATTTCCCATCCCATGTCGTATACCCCAACAAAAACAAATTCACAAAAATTGAAAAAATAAAATAAAATAAAAATAGCAATTCTAAGAAAACACTATTTCATCATCTGATAAAACTAAGACACCAAATTAAATCTGTATTCTTAAAAACAATATATCTTTTTACTTTTATTTTTAANTAAGACACCAAATTAAATCTGTATTCTTAAAAACAATATATCTTTTTACTTTTATTTTTAACTGACAAATAATAATTATAAAAACAATATATGTTAAAAAGTTCTTCAGCAAGAAAAATCAAAGCTTCTCTAATACGAAACAATACAGGCCTTTATAATGAAAAGTTAAACCAACAAGTATTTTAAAAGCAAAAATTAGGTTTAAGCATTAAAAAATATGAATCATTTTAATGACCCAAAACTACTTACAAAGAAAAAAATAAATGAACATTTTAAAAAACATTTCCCTTAAGTTGGTTAACTATACTACTTGTAAATTTTGTTTACAATATCTATTTACTCAGCAAATATTTCTTCATAAGATATGCCAAATTAACTCTGTGGAAACTACAAATAAATTTCTAAATCAATTCTCACTGAGTAAATTTTAAATTCACTACCATAAGCATTTTACTTAATATATTAATACATAAAATTTAATCCTCAAGCCAATTATCCTGGTATTTGAATATATAAGCAAATGCTTTCAGGTGGGCTGGTTAGCTCAGTTGGCTAGACTGTGGTGTTATAACACCAAAGTTAAAGACTCAAAACTCCATACTAGCCAGAGCCAAAAAAAAAAAAAACTTTCAAAAATGAATTTAAGAAATATACAAATGTATAAATTTACAGCAAGTTTTTAATGAAGATCTCAAACAATTACTTTCCAGATTTCAACAGATAGGTAACTAAAAGTTATAAGTAATTCCTGCTTATACACTTGAGATGTTTTAAGAAAATACACATTAAGTTAATAAACTACATTTGATTTCATTAAGCATAATGTTTTAACATTATGAAATAATAAATAACAAAAGAAAACACAAAAAGTACAATGGTGACTACCTTGATAGCTTGTTTTAAGAAAATACACATTAAGTTAATAAACTACATTTGATTTCATTAAGCATAATGTTTTAACATATGAAATAATAAATAACAAAAGAAAACACAAAAAGTACAATGGTGACTACCTTGATAGCTTGTTCAAAATTGAGAACTTTTCGATTAACTTGGTTTCCAATCATGCCTGCATCCATCTTAGGATCCATCATTTCAATAGCAGACATGGCTTCAAAAAGACCAAATCTGCAAATAAAAAAATTAAAGAATTGTTTTATAACCAGTAAGCTTACCCAGACTCCCACAATGGCATAAAAATAATTATAGTACTTTTAACAACTATAGCACTTCATGTATTTAGTCTTCCTGACTTGCTAACGCTTCTATTTCAGTTAACTGTCCTTTGATAAAAATTCTTTCATGTACTTGCCACTCAAATTATTTTACATGTACTGTGGGGGAGATAAGAATTAAAACAAAAGATGTTTGTTATGTTTTCTTTAAAAAGATTGCACATTAGAAACTTGTGGAAAAAAGAGATCAACTGATCTATAATGAATTTCACTTTGCCTTCCTTAAATAATTTTCTCTATTTAACATATAGAAAGTCATATTTGGAATAATCATTATCAAATGTAACCATTTTTTTCATTTTCTTTATATCTTAAAAGTACGATAATCTGGCACATTACAATCTACAACACCCAAAATTTTGGTAATTACATGATGAAAAGCAATCCAGATATCCTCATAGTTTGATATTTGTGGCTAATTCACTATAAAAGAAGATAGTTGTAAGTTGTAATGCACTGTGACTGATTAGTAAGTATATTATTTACTGAGATACGCCTCAAGAAATGGGAAAGGAAAAGAAAAGCCTAAAAGAAAGTTTGACTAGCCATCATGAAGCTACTGACTTCATATCTGTAAGACATTAGACTACCAGGAAATAAAGACATCTACCTTATTACACTAAATCATTTTTCTCAGATAAAAATTAGCAGTAAGACATCAGAAAGAGCTTTAAGGAGACAGACTCTTTTCCCCAGCAATCCCTCTAATCTCCTAATGCTTCAATTTAAAATACTCTAACGATATGATCATATGACAATAGTAAAGACAACCCTCGTATATAATCGAACCAACCCAAAAGAGAAAATATGCAAGAATGAAACAGAATTTTGTCCATAAAAACAATACGAATTCACCAAATATCAAACAATACTATAAAGGATAACAATTAAAAGCATTTTAGAATATAAAAAAGCCCACATCCACATTTCTGTGGGAACTACACATGATAAAGGTAGAATTCCAGATTAGTGGAAAAACAGCAGATTAGTCAATGAATACTGTTGAGACAAACAGCTAACCATCTGGAAAAAGTTAAGTCTTTGATTCACACAATTTGAAAAAATAAACCCCAGGCAGACTTAAGTCCTAAACCTAAAACAAGCAAACAAACAAAAACTACTCTTCAATAATTTACAAAGCTAGAAAGGAAGAAGCTGATAACTGCAACTGTGGAAATATTTTAAATTTATATATAACAGTATAAATAAATATATCATAACAAATATAAATAATAAATAAATATATCATTATATCAACATAAATATATCACAGTCAGTTAAAACGGTTAATATCCAGAATATATAACTAACTCATACAAATAAGAGAAGGTAAAAATTCCAAAGAAAACAGGCAAAAGACATGAATGGATAATTCACAGAAGAAAAAACATAAACCATTCATAAAAAAGTGAAAAGCTGCTCAAATTCAGATGTAATCAGGTAAGGTAAAATAAAACTATGAGACTTTTTTTGGCCATAAGATAGGGAAAATTAAAAAATATATATTTATCTAGTGCAATCTCATACACTGTTGGTAGGAATGTAATTGGTACAGACTTTTTTGAAGGAAATTTGGCTGACCCCGTTGAAATATAAAACACTCAAATCTGTTATGCTGATCATTTAATTTCTAGGTTTCTATTCTAGAAAATGATTCACACATGTACAAGGATACTTCAAAAAATTCATGGAAAAAGAAAATTAAAAGATAATATGACTCTTTCCATAAGCTTTTTGAAGATCCCCCATATAAGATGCTTCTATAAATTATAAATGTCTTCAATTTTCCCATATTATCAAAAAATGTTGCAATCTAAATGTCCATTGATAAGGACACCACAGAATAGATTATGGTATAGCCACCTTATAAAATACAACAGTTAAAATGAACAAGGTAGAGCTATTACACAGTGACATGGAAAGATCTCCAAGATATGTTAAATAGGAAAGAAATTTACATAATACATACTGTATATTCCCATTTATAATTAATAATTTTTATAGATCTTTATTCATGTACATAATGATAATTTCTAAAAGGTCAAGAAGTACACGGAACAATCTGATAACTTGTAATTGTGATTACCTCTGGGCAAAGAGTAGGAATAGTGTCATGGGAAGTTTTTGCTTCTGTGATGTATGAATTTGTTAAAAACAAAATATCCATTTATTACTTATATGAGGATAACTAAAAAAAAAGTTTTAATGGCACAATTAAAATTCTAGACCAATTAGGCATTTACCTAATTAGTAAAACTGCTACAGTAGAAACTACAACAGCAGAGTTACTACTAAGTTAGCTCTTTCATCCATTCAACAAATACTTACTGAGCACCTATGTGCTATGCACTTGGGATATATGAGTGAGCACAACAAATTAGCCTGCCTCATGGACATAACTTTCCAGTAGGAGGCAACAGACAAACAGTAAAAATAAGTGGATTATATAGTATGTTTGAAGACTGTACATGCTAGGGAGAAAGAAAAAAACAGGCTAAAGGGGATATAGATTGGAAAGATACAACTTTAATAGATGGTCAGTGCAGGCTGCTGGCAATCATGTTTCCAGGGCTCACAGCCTAAAACCCTGGGGAAATGAAGGGAGCTAGGTCCCTCTAGGT